GGCCATACGCTGAGGAAACCATCAAGTGACATCACTAGACAAGCCACTGCTCGAGTGGAACCCGAAAGGGAGGCGGTGAGTTGGTCGTCAGTGCAAGGGTGATTAGGAGGAGGTCATGTGAAGAGGAGATGAGAGTATGTGGGCAGACTTGGAGCGGGGTGAAAAAGTTGGCAGAAAACCTATGGCAATGGAGACGAGCAGCTGAAGCCCTATGTTCCTCTAGGAATTAAAGGATATAATAACAATAATATAATACAATCGTACATGTATATATGATTTTCAAGAAATTATATCCGGTGAGGGAATTGGATCAGATGTGTCAATGCATGAAATAATAATAGTAGTATTAAATGCAATTGAAATTAAAATGTTTGTGATTATAATTATATTTAAATGTCAAGTGGCAAAACAATTAATTAAATATATAGAACTTGGAAGGGGTGTGAAATTATAGGACTAGTGGACAAATCAAATAAAATAAAAACGTTGCGTAACACCGTGTGAAATTTGATAACAGAATTTAACACTACTAGACATAATTGATTTAGAATGACAAGTGGAACAAGTGAAATATTACCGAGGACAGTTCAACGTGAGAATAGTAATAGTAACAATTGACGTAATAAGGAAGAGACTACAAATTGAATAGACAAAATAAAAAAAAATTGGTAGAGCTGAAATATGATTGGGGATTATCATATTTTAGCATAGAGGGATTAAGACCATGAAAGTTGGAGGGGTTGAACGAACTTTTTCTGTACACAGAGATCTGGCTTTTCTGTTTCGATAGCCAAAGCTTCAGCAATACAGATGAGTTGGGTACGTAGTGATTTGGGTAAATTACATTTTGTCTTGTAGATGACATTAGAGGCGGAGGGTGTAGAGGTGGAGTGGTGATTATCGACTAGACGTTCAGTGACCGCATTTCTTACTGCTACACTTCCACTCTTTCGTAACCATACAGGGTTGTGTTGTTGCACCCTCTTGGACAAAACTCAAGTCGAACTACCAATATACCTAGCTCCACACGAGCAGGTGAATTGATCCTATAATTGCACACCCCTGCCAAGTTCTATACATCCTATGAATTATTCTATATATGACACTAATTGTTTTGCTACTTGACATTCAACCAAGATTATAATCACAAATATTTTGATTTTAATTACATTTCATACTACTATTATTATTATTTTATACATTCACACCTATGATTCATTTCCCTCACTTCTTAAAAACCATGTATATGTAAGATTGTACAGGTTGAAAATGAATTCGTTGTAAAGAGTCTCTTCGCTGAATCACCACTTGTTTTGATTTTCTATATGTTACACAATTGGAATTTTCCATAATTATTACTACTCGAAAATGTGTTATAGAATCTAAGTATTTTGAGTTTGATATGAAACCAGATAATTAATAAGTATTATAACGCACCCTCCTGACACAAAATTATAACTAAGGCTAAAAATATATATATGTATGCGTTTAGCCTTAGTATCAACTGAATAGACTTCTCGTTGTTCACTGGACGCTTAAGGTGTTTTAAGCTATCTTGTGCGTCGGTGGCACAGCTGTTAGGACTCTCGCCGACCATGCAAATGGTCCGGAGTTAAATCTCCTGCCGACGCACACCTGATATCTATGGTCGGCCTGCAAAATTCGGGTTACCAATATCACATGCTGAAAATTCCATCCTTGTACCAAAAATACTGTGTGATTTCAGTCTATAATCAAAATATAAAAAATAAAGTAAATAAGGAGTAAGCATTCGACGGTATTTAGCACCTTCCTTCGTGCAGATTAATACGTCTATTCTCAAAGTCCTTAGCTTAAACATATTAGTTAGATGTGTTTAGAAACTCATTTTTCTGTAAAATAGTTCCAATCTTTATTCTATTTAAATATGTTGCTCTTTCGAGGATAATTTTCAGAGTTGGTTTGTAAGGATTAGATTTGTTTTTACGAGTTTGATCATGGATTGATATCAGATAGAGTATCATTGAAAACCATCACTGGAGTACTGGACAGCTGCTGTTTCATTTTAGTTTTGGAATCATCAAGAATAATTTTAGGTAATTGAGTCTTTTTGATTTGTATTTCGTTAGCACCACTTTCAGGTTAGGTAAATAACTGATTAGATGGGTCACACAGTATATTGAGTTAAGTAGGCTTGGTTAAGTGTTTTGTGTAATAACAACACGTCCAGTCACTTACACGGACTATTCATGTAACCCAGCTGTTTTGTACAGGTATGCATAGTGGAGTGATTGTTTAGCCAAGGTCAAAGTAAGTAAAATAATTATAAAATTCATAATCAACTACATAAAATTTGTATATTAAAGCCAATAGATTATATCTCTACATGCCTTTACATTTATTCCCGTAACAAACAGATGACTTAAAATGATGACAATTATTAAGATTATATTTGAAGTAGAAACGAAGCACCTAAGGGTAGCTGGAGAATTGAGATTAACTCTTTATAAGAGAACTGAGAATATCAAAGCAAGGATCAGGAAAGCAAGGCAAGTTTTCATTACTCTCGAGTCTGTGTGGAGATCAACAGCACTCAGATCCTGATTTTCAACTCCAATGATAAGTCATTACTACTATACGGATCAGAGATTTGGTGCGTCACCAAGGCTACACTTCGAACAAACTACATACATTCATCAACCGCTGTCTTCGCCCAGTACTTCACTCAACATCAGATGATCGACCAGAAAATATCACCAACAGGGTGGGATATCTAGAAATGAACGAACCAAACAACCAACCCAGCAGGAACCCATTGTGCAACAAATATGCAGGAAGAAACGGAGGTGGATTGTGGCCATACTATGAGAAAACAAACCATCATCAAGTGAGTGACATCCCACGTCAGGCCATCGCTCGAGTGGAAGGTGAATGGGCGATCATGGGGGAGTTGGTCGTGAGTGTGAGGGTGACATGGAGGAGGTTATGAAAAGAGGAGATGGAAGCATGTGAGCGGACATAGAGCCAGGTGAAAACTTTGGTGGAGAAACGAACACAATGCAAACGTGCAGCTGAAGCCCTGTGTTCCTTTAAGAACTAAACGAGACAGCAAAGCTTCAGTTACTAGTTCGGGAGACTTTTGGTTGAAATCCTCTCACTATCCAAGTTTTCGTTTCACTTTCCAATATTAAAATCTTCTTTTACGTATTATTAACACCAATATATATGGATACTATAACCACTGCAAAAGGACATTCAAAATATTGTAAGAAAATCATATGATTTCAAATCCCAAATAGAACACCTAGAAATTGATAAAGAAGACATTATGGTAAGCTATGATATTAACTCATTATATACTAGTATCCCTATTGCCGAAAGTCTTGATATCATTTCCAGTCTACTAGAATCAAATACAACGCTATCAAAAAAATGTCCACTGGACAACAAAGAAATAATTAAGAGTTTGAAATTCTGTCTAGAAAGTAATTATTTTACATTTAAAGGGAGTTTATATAGACAGACAAATGGTGTTGCTATGGGTTCACCAGTTTCCCCAATAGTCTCTGACCTTTTCATGAATAGATTCGAAGATAACATCTTTTCAAGGATACTCACTCCTAAAATATGGTTAAGATATGTAGATGATACTTTTGTAGTGCTAGAACGAGATCTACAGAGTTCATTCTTGGAGAAAATAGATACTCTTCCTCCCAGAATCCAGTTCACTTCAAAATCAGACGTCGGTGAACTACCATTTCTAGACTACCTAGTTAAGAGGAGGGAAAACAGACATTTTAGTGTATCCATATTCAGGAAAAAAACCCATTCCAATAAATATTTAAACTTCAGATCATCACAACCCATCAGCGCAAGGATTTCAGTTGTTTCAAGTCCTCTCAGACGAGCACACTCTTTGATAACGGATGAGAAAGAAAAAGAAGAAGAAATATCAAACATTACTGAAACTCTCAAGCAAAACAACTACCCAAAGAACTTCATCAACAAATTAAGTATGGTTGAAAACCTATTCCAAAAACATGGACCTCAACAGTTGTCATTCCATATAGAGCAGAGACGTCAAACGATATGAGAAGAGTACTCAATAAGCTCAACGTTAGAGTTCTCTTCAAAACATCAGACACACTTCAAAGCAACCTTATCCATATAAAAGACCAAATCCCAAAAGATTCTCTATCTAATTGTGTCTATAAAATGAAATGCTTAGAAGCTGATGAGATATACATCGGACAAACATCGCCAGAGAGAAATCAAGGTAATCAGAAGAAACGAACATCGTAGAGCATCTGTTCGACCAACCACAGAGAAATCCAGTTGAACTAGAAAAACTAGAAAAAAAATCATCAGCCATAGCTTGTCTACACGCTATAGAATCAGGCCACAAAATTGATATTGACAATATCGAAAGAATCCAGAAAAAGCATTTCAGAAATCACAGAGAATGTCTAACATTTTCAGAAGCACTTCATATCAAGTGGAATCCAAATTGTCTGAATAGGAATGATGAACTAAAGCAGAATTCGACTTGGTTACAGCACCTCCCTCCCTCCCTCATGAAGTGACAAAATCAACACGTATTTCACTGATAAGCAATCTTGTTATGTTAACACACGCTCCTTTTATAATTCTACACACTTATCAAATCGAACAGTCATCTACAACTGGTTTTGTTATCTTTACGAATTGGCCAATTTGACAAGGGAGAAGCGACCCGATGCTGACAAGCGATGATTAAGTTGCTACATATAAGCTGAGTGGACTTTGTAAATTCTGGTTTAATAAAAAACGTATTGATAAATGTATTAGCGGCAGCATTAAATAGCGAAAGGTCAGTAAAAACAGGTATGTCGTTTTAGTTTTCATTCATTGGGAAATACAAGAGCACCTTTATTATCATGAATATCATATATATCTTTTTCAAACTGTTAAAAGTGTACTTGGTTTGGACATATATAATATATATCAAATTACTTCAACAATAAAAAAAGACATTTACTTACATTTTCAGAATCTGAATCAGGAAACTGAAAATGAATTGATGGAATTTGACCTTCTCTATGATTACCATTGTTATCATCATCATCATGATCATTATCATGATTCAATGCATCTGTGTCAGTTTTAATTTTATGATAAAGCTCTAGTTGATTATTCCCATCGTGAACGGTTGATTCTTCATTCAACTCAGATTCCATGAATTCTTGATTAGGTAATTTTACTCCAAAATCGATATTATAATGCATAGAAGTCATTAAATCTGGGGAATAAGTTAATTCTCTTATTGAAGTTTGTTTATTTGATGACGGTGATGATAGGGACTGTTGATCATCAGAAGAATTGATCAGTCTGCAATGTGTTTGAGTATTTCGTTGAATTGATAACTTGTCAGGTAATATTTCCGCATCCTCTTCATTATTCATGGTTAAACAACATTGAATGCCATCCATATATTTTTGATTGGTGTTCTAGTGTGCATTACAGTCTTACAAATTGGTATGGTGATTTTTCAATGATCTCGAAGGTTATATATCCTCTTTGGTGTTCGTGATGAATAGCATGGAAATCTTTCCTGTTTCTGTTGGGCTGATCGAATCTTCTGGACAAAGCTTTCTTTCTTTTTTATTCCTTTATTTGCTTCTTTTAGACCTGCAAAACTCACTAATGGCTAACTTTTTTGTTTTGCAATACACATATATGTAGAGAGAGCGACCAGACAAGATAAGAGTCATTTATTATTTAAAATTTATTGACGCCATTAGATAGAGCGGATGGATAGACAACGGGGGAGGCTTTTATTCACTACTGAATACTAACCTATATAGGCGGAAGTGGGAGCGGAAATATGCCTATATATCGACGTTTATATATACATACATATATGTGCATACAGACACATATATATACATACATTTTGTGTTTGTGTGTGTTGTATATGTTAGTTTGTAAGTTCATCAATGAGCAGAATTTCCTACGCTTCCTACAGCCTTCCATGTTTTTTATAAATATTAATGTTGTATGTGAAGGGCGGAAGCATGGCATATTCTAATATTTCATGTATACAATGCATCCGCTTGTGCATATGTCAGTTTGTACATCTATTTTTACATCCCCAAGAGATAGTGTGATATATACAAATACATATAAACACTTTTTTATATGTTTCTACTAATCGTGTTTGCGCGTTTGTTTGTTTAGTTGCATGCATGTGCGTTGTGTGTGTGTGAGTGTATGTGCGTGAATGCATCTAAGCGTATTCGATATACGGACAGGTTATATTGACGGAAGTTTCAGGGATAGACAAAAATATACGAATGAACAAACAGGACGGAAGTTTGTCTCAGATAGCAATTATTATTTGTTTGTTTGTTAGCTAAATTCAATTCAAATCACCTTTTAGATTCATAGACTAGCCTTAGATAAAAAAATTATTTCGAAAATACTTCTAACTATTTTATTACTACTAACAAGCTTATAGTAGTATAAATGAAGCGTCAGACAATTTTAAATCAACTTTCAAGATTATTTTAAATAATTTAAAACTTTCATAACTAGACGGTTGAAGAAAGCAAGGGAGGAACAGATATTTCCCGACAGTGTATATGAAGAAATTAGGTCAATGGGCATGTAGACGCCAAGATTGTATGGTTCACCTAAAGTACATGAACTTGGGGGAGGGAGTACTGTTAAGATCAATACTTGATATGCGAAATTTTGCCAACCATTCTCTAGCTAGATGGTTAGTAAATATTCTCAAACCTTTGCATGAGCAGATAGTGAATGAAATATAGTGTCAAAGATGTATTTCAATTCGTAGACAAAGTCAAAGATATTATAGTATCAAGGATAAAACTATGATATCTTTGGATATGACATCTTTATTCACAAATGTACCTCTAGTATGTGAACAAGTGTGTAATAAGTCGATAAATATTAGTATCCCTACAGAAATCCTAGAAGAACTGTTATCAAGGTGTACCATGAATGTAAATTTTAAATTTGATGGCTCGCTTTAGAATCAAGTTGACAGGGCTGCGATGGGCTCCCCATTGGGTCCCATTCTGGTTGATTTCTTTCTTAGTAAGCTAGAAAATGGACCTCTGAACAACCTTATCAGTAAGTTCTCATTTTATTGCCGATATATGGATGATACCTTTATTCTTTGTGATAACGGTTCTAATAGGAGTACAATAATTAATGAATTCAATGAAGTACATTCGGCTATGAAATTCTCAGTGCAAAGAGGAATCCAAAAACAGAATTACCTTCCTGGATGTCCTCCTTACAAGAAAACGAGATAGTAGTAGAAAGAGAAATTTGTATAGGAAAAGTACATGGACAGGACAATGAACACATTTTCACAGCTTCGTTCCTCTCCAGTATAAAAGAAATTTAGGAGGGACCCTCAGCCACACGGTTAGAGCTATATGCTCAGAACAAGTAAGTGAAGATGAACTAAGCATTGTGTATGATGCTTTGATCAAAAATAGCTCTCCTGACAAATTTATCAAGAAAGACGTGACAAAGAGAGAGGAAAAGGACTACTCATTATCCGCACACAAGAAGCCTTTATACATACGACTTCAATTCAAGGGCAACGCATCTAGAGAAATAATTACTAAGAAATTAAGAAAATCATTTCAAAGAACTTTTAATGCTGTCAAACTACAAGAGTTATTTTCTACCCGACCGATGATGATACCTCAATCGAAAGATGAAGTACCTCGACTAGCCACTTCTAATTGTATTTACCAATTCAACTGCGCATGTGGAAAGAGTTATATTGGCTGTTGCTCTAGGAACTTGATTTTTCGTGATCGCTCGGTAACATTTACCTGTGTGGTTAAATAAAGTGTAGTTAGAAGCATTAATAGCTCCATAGAAGAACACCTGGTCCAAACGGGCCAACCACAAAGCCAGCATTGAATAGTCCTTCTCTGTTATCTATCGGATATCAAACAAATTGCCAAAATCATCCAGGTACAGCATGCTCCAAACATTATTCTTCTTGCAACTTGACATTTGATATATATATATATATATATATATATATATATATATATATATATATATATATATATATATATATATATATATATATGGTTTTTAAGAAATTATATCCGGTGAGGAAATTTATCCAAAGGTGTGAATACATAAAATAATGACAATATGAAGTGAAAATGTTTACGATTGTAATCATATCTAAATATCAAGTATCAAATGGCAAAATAAATAATGTCATATACAGAATTCTTCACAGGATGTACAGATGTTAGAAGGAGTGTAAAACGATAGAATTAGTAGGCAAATAGTAAACGTGACGAAACATAATACGAAGAAAATTGGGAGGGTAGAATTCAACATTTTAAGAAAGATATTTTGTGGTTTAAAATGACAGTTGGGACAAGTGAAATAATACTGTCAACAGTTCAAAGTGAGAATAGTAATTGACAATAACTATAATAATTGTGGTAATGAGGGAAAGGTATACAGATTAACAAAATATAAACACATGAATAAATGTGTTTACTCCATTACGTCCAAGGTAGGAATATTATATTATCGTTACAATGATGGCCAGTTATGCCGGTGGGTAAATTTTGACGTAGAATAACAGATTAGTTATAAAGTGACACAGTTAATAGTAGGTTGAAGATGAGACAGTAACTCATCGAAGAAGACATTAAGGAATGGTCGCGCTATGTCGTCAATTGGCAGAAGTTAGAATTCATAGGCCAATGAATCGGGTTCCAGTGGCTCAATGGTCTGCGAGCTCGCCTTGCAACTAAAATACCCCGGTTCGAACCCCGGTGGGTGCGCACTGATGAAGAGTCCCAAACTGGGGCGAAACAGCCATCCAATACTCCCTGTAGGTTTTCCAATGGTTCTCTAACTGATGTCAGCTCATGATGAAATCCTCCATCTAAATAGTACTTGTTGTGACAAATATGCCTGTCTGAATTCAATTAGAAAATATACGAGACAATGATAATGGTGATTAGTCATCATACGATGTGGGGGTTAGGAAACATTGACAAGTCATTTCAAGCTTATAAAAGGTGCCAAGTGAGTGAGTGGCGAGTACAAAGCGGTATGTATCAAAGAGGAGATAGTAAGACTGCATTAAGAGGTTCATCATGAAATAACGAATGTGTGAATTGAAGCAGGTGGAGGTATATATTGAGAAAAGAGATAATATCACTAATAGTGAGTCCGGATAGTATAAATGGAAAATTCAATAGCATCGAGAGAATGTTTGAATGAAGGGGATAAATTATAATCAATAAAAATTGATGGAGTAGCTATGGTATCTTCACTGGGTACTATATTTGTCAACATCTTTTCAGCAAAGCTAGAAAGTAGTCCTTTCAAAGATTTACTGTTATTATCATTATTTATTGTAACTGATTCCCTTCATTCAAGAATTCTTTCAATACTATCCAATTTCCCATTCATACTACTCGGACTCCACCTGTTTCATTCCACATTGGTTATACATCATGGTGAACTGTTCACGACAGTCTTACCATCTCATCCTTACTGAATACCACTCTGCATACTACTAGCCGCTCAACTGACACTTTTTATAAGCTTGAATTGACTTGTCAATGTTTCCTAACCCCCAGATTGTATGAATCCACGATGACTAATCCCCGTCATCAGTGTCTCGTATTTCAGAATATCATTTTCTAATTGAATTCAGACAGGCATATATGTCACAACAAATACGATTTATTTTGTCACCTTATAATTAATCTGTTATTCTACATCGTAATGTACCGACTGGCATAACTGGCTAACATTGTAACGACAAATATTATATTTTTATAATTGTATAAATCTAAAGACTATTTATTGAAAAGAATATTCTTCGTTCAGACTGACTTGTAATTCATGATATGGGAATATATTTAAGAACACAATATTCAGTGAAGAGACTCTTTTCAATAAATTTATATGAAGCTGTACAATCGTATATATACATGGTTTTTAAAAAAATATATGAGGTGAGGGAATTGGATCAAAGATGTACATACATGAAGTTATAATAATAGTATGAAATGCAATTAAAATTAAAGTGTTTGTGGTTATAATCATAGTTAAATGTCAAGTGGCAAAACAACTAATATCATATATAGACTAATTCACAGGATGGATAGATGTTGGAAGGGGTTGTATAGTTCTAGGATTAGTAGACTAATATAAAACGTTACATAACATGGTGTGAAATTTGATAAGATAGAATTCAATATTGTAAAAAATAAAATTTTTGATTTAGAATGACAAATGGGACAAGGGGAAACAACTCACAGTGAGAATTGTAATAATAATAATAATAATCGTGGTAAAGAGGGAAGGTACATAGAATAACTAAATAAACAAAATGAATAAATAAATGTCTATCTCTCTACGACTAAGACAGAAGTAGGGATCGTGCGTGCTTTTTTTG